GATTTTGAACTCGAGGTCATGGTCTTCCACTCCGACACAATCCTCCTCAATGGTGACGGTCTGGTGTGTCGGTAATGACGACCAATCGGGTGCGGCAAGGTATTGCGGCAGGCTACCGCACGGCACGGTGATTTCAAGTGTGCGGTTCGTGTTGAAAGCTTTTTCTCCCAAAGTGGGCGGTTGTTCTCCTTCCATCGTGATGAACGCCATATCGCCCTTATAAAAAGCTCGTGAGCCAATGTGTTTTATGCCCGCAGGAATAGTAAACACGGGATGATTAACAAAGGAATTCATAAACACCTGATCTGCAATGGTATCAAGAGTTGACGGAAACTGGACATCAAACAACTCGCAATCGTAAAAGCAGCGGTAGGGAACCACGGTTAAACGACTGGGTAGGGTCACAGTCCCCACTAAGCCACGGAAACCGGCAAAACAGCTGTTGGGCAATTGGAAAATATTGTCGGAAAAGTCAACTTGTTGCAAATGTTGACTCAACCCCCTAAAACAAGAAGGTGCAAGGAACAAGGTGTCGTCCGGATGAAGGGAATCCGATTGAAACACAATCCGTTTACAAGGAAGGTTGCCACTGGTGAGCGGTCTGAACTTGCGAAGAGACGCTGGGAACACCAATGTTTGGATACAATTGGAGGAAAAGATGTTTTCCTCGATTTCCTGAAGTCCCTCGTTCAAGATAAGGGAACTTAAGCTGTAGCAGCCAACGAATGTTCCTGTCTTCAAAACGGGGATGTTGCCGGGAATTTCCATAGACTCAACCAGTGTATAGGCGAAAGTGCTGTCGCCGACAAATGTCGTCGTGGCGGGAATGATGAAATTCAGCAGTGAAGAATGGGCAAAAGCACTTGCGCCAATGTTTAGGACACTCGCGGGGAGTTGCACTGTGCGGATTCCTTGCTGCAGCGAAAATGCCCGTTCATCCACAGCGATGACGGAGTAGATAACCTCGCCGAAACTCACCGTTTCCGGCACAACCACCAACGTGTCATAGTCACTCAACGACAGCTGTAAAGCGTATGTTGCCGAGTCGTGGCACCTCGTCACAGCCACGGTGAAGGGAGCCGTGGAGGAGGTGATTCGGTAATAGAGGGTGTCGCCGTCCGCATTGGCGGCTTTGAAATCGTAAGGCGGGTAAGGGTTCTGCGCCTGTAGACTGCCCGCGCACACGGCGAGCAACAGTGCCGCCAAAACCAATGCGGAGCCTAAACGCCCGCCAATTCTCTCTGTTTGTGTATTTCTCTAGGGTTATGATTTGATTTGGCGAAAATACGATTTTTTCGGTTTACGATTTGCGGTTTACGATTTACGGTTTGCGATTTGCGGTTGGGGGGATCCGTTATTTCCTCACAATTTTCTGGTGGTATTCCTTGCCGTCCGCATCCGTCACGCGCAACACGTAGACGCCGGCGGGGATGGATTTCACGGTTATGGTGGCCGTTCCGCCTCGTTGGGGCGTATCGAATACGCCCGTCACGATGCGTCCCTGCAGGTCGTACAACGCAACGTTCGCAATCTCCGCGCCGCCGCGCAATTCGATGAACAGGACGTCGTCGGTGGGGTTGGGATAGACGGTAAGATTCGTTTCCCCATCCTGTTGCGACACCTTGGCACTGCGGGTCTCCATATTGTTGTCATGGTTGTCCATGTTGTCGTCCCCCAACAAATCGTCCTCGTAACAAATCCCGTGGAAGAAACACAGCACCCCCT